TTGCAAATTCTCCAAGTCAAATGAAGACCTATAAATGGATTATTGTGAATTTTACTGTGAGTACACTATAATTAAAAAACGATTTTAGGACTTTCTAATTGTTTTAATTTAGCTCACAACATTCTTCACGGACTTTATTATCTGTTTTTTATTCGATCCTATCCCACTATTTCCGGAGGTGGCCTGTTATTCTAAGACATGGTTGGCTAATGCTCATGAAAATGCTAATTTCATATTATTAGTAAGTTATTTTTTATTGAAGTTTTTCATAGAGTCAAACTTGAATAATGAGACAAGAATCTGTACAACCTCTCATCTAGAAACAGTTGTGAGTTTTCCAAAAATAATATAATTTCAGTTCATTTCCCTAGTAATGCTGCAGCTTACACTTAGCAGTACATTAGTTGCATTTATTTATCGAATGCAATCTCTCATCAACTTTTCCTCTTCCTTTCTTCAATGCCACTTCCTGTATGTAATCGTATTTGTTTATACTATATGTCTGACTCCAACTATTGCTGTACTCATGATTTGTTATAAGAGTTTTAATCAAATGCAAGATATAGTTGAGGTATGGTAACATTATCACAGTAGATAAAAATCGTTGTAAAGACGCTATATCATAATTCAGGGAATTCCAAATCTATACATCTTGAAAGGTTACATATCTTATCTGGCTACATATAAGGATGATCCAGCATTTACTATATTCCAAATTATTTGGTTCTGTTCTTCCATTCTTGCGGTCGCATCATGTATATTTGTAGCAATCATTATCATCGTTCATCTCCGGCAAAAAAAGAATTCCATGAGTCCGAAAAGCCTTGAACTACACCGCTCTCTGACAATTCATCTAATAGTGCAGGTATAATGATGTTTTCGCCTACTCAATCGCAAAGCAAAGACAGAGAATACTATTACTACGTCGCATAACGCAAGCTGGTGAAAGAAAAGCCGAGTTAAAATATTTCCCTTTTCAGGGGATGTGAAAATGATAAGGCAGTAGTGGCCCAATTCCTAATGCATATTGATAAACATAGAGTAATGATTAGAATGGAATCGTGAGGACGAGGAGGGAAACGCAAACATTGTTAGCGGAGGGAGGTGGAAAGACGTGCAGTGGAGCTACTGAGCACAACATTCCTGTCGAAATTTTTTGTTAACGTTAAAACGATTAGGAGAAGCATAAGAATAAAATACATGAAAATTCACCATTACGACTTAAGAAGGTTGTATTCCATGTGGTAAGTGCCATAACGCTGCACTTCCGTCAACTTTTAACTTGGCTTGCGCAAAAATTCAACAAGTGTAATTTTTAAATCAATAAAAAGATCCTGCTTTTCCTTTAACCACTTTTAAAACTGAGAACTGTTTTGCAGATCATGATGCCATCGTTAACTATCTTCATCCCTATGCTATTGCTCTTCTCCACTCGTTATATTGAAGTTCCGTTCGGTGCAGCATGTGCGTTCTTCAAGTTAATGTCCTTAACTGCTGATTAACAGTAATTTGCCTTAATTTAGACTGGAATATGATTATTGCACAAACTGTGGCAATGCATAGCCCGTTGAATACTGTCGCTGTACTGCTCTCAACCCGACGATATCGTCAAGCATTTCTTGGGATGTTCAAGAAGATCTCGGGCATTTGGTACCGACCAAAAAGAAAGTCTGGCAGTATCAAACGTAGAATAGTCACGCCTAAGTAAATTTTTGTAACAGTTGACTAGTAAAGTAAAATACTGTAAAAAGAAAATTTTATTAGATGACAAAAGCACGATAAACATCTGATAAGGCACCTCATAGTATATCACCGTA